CTCTCTCTCTCATTCTCTCTGTCTCAAATAAATAAATAAAATCTTTAAAAAAAAAAAAGAATACAAAGGTAGAGAAAAGATGATAACGTAGAACAACAGATGTGAAAAAAGATTGATCATCTCTATAGAAAAATCCTGAAAATAATAATCACCAACTCACACAGTGTAGCAATTAAACTCTATCATCTAAAATGTCAAAGTCAGGGTGCCTGGGTGGCTCAGTTGGTTAAGCGACTGCCTTCGGCTCAGGTCATGTCATGATCTTGGAGTCCCTGGATGGAGTCCCACATTGGGCTCCCTGCTCAGCAGGGAGTCTGCTTCTCCCTCTGACCCTCCCCCCTCTCATGTGCTCTCTCTCTTTTTCTCTCTCTCAAATAAATAAATAAAATCTTTAAAAAATAAAATAAAAAATGTCAAAGTCAATGAATTTCAGAGCTGGAAGTCCTCAGACCATCCATTCTAACTTTCTCATTTCTCAGAGAAGAAAATGTGATTAAGGGGTGCCTGGGTGGCTCAGTTGTTGAGCGTCTGCCTTCGGCTCAGGTCATGATCTCGGGGTCCTGGGATCGAGGCCCGCACTGGGCTCCCTGCTCTGCCGGAAGCCTGCTTCTCTCTCTCCCACTTCCCCCTGCTTGTGTTCCCTTTCTCACTGTCTCTCTCTATGTCAAATAAATAAAATCTTAAAAAAAAAAAAGAAAATGTGATTAAGAGTTAAGTGGTTTGGTCAAGGTTACACAATTCATTGCAGGACAGGGATGAAAGGTGAAAGTACAGATTTCATTAAAATTTACAGGAATTTTCTGGAAGATATTTAGCAAAATGTTAACAGTGGTTGTCTCCCAATAATGAGACCACAGGTGATTTCCACTTTCTTACTTCTGATTATCTGTATTTAAAAATTTTCAGCAATAGAGGCGTATTAGTTGACTACAGTAAAAAATAAAACTAAAAATACATATACTCCATGAGACTACTGAGAGATTACTTACTTTCTTAATGTCATCTAAACTAGTAATTTCAGGTGACATCCCTCCATGTACACACAGAAACTGCTGGTTTAAGAGGGCAGCAAGAGGAAGACAGTCAAATGTTTCCATACACGCATCATACACCTGTTCAGAATATTTGATTCGACCTATCAAAAAAAGAAAAACAGTCAAAGGAAGAAAAGCTAAAATTTATCATATATGAAAAAGGATATTGGACAGAAAATTATGAAGCTACTTCAAAGCCATTTATTTCAGGCAAATTTGAAAACAATCATCTTTATAAAAATATTCTTGAAAAGTTGTGGATAAAAGGTAAACAAAATCTCCTCTAAAGACAAATGTGACGCTGGATTAACTTTCTAGCTCTGTTGCCTTTGAAACCTGATAAGGTGAATGTCAGCTGTGTTATTAGGCAACATTGCTTATGTTAAAAATTACTCAATTACCTGGTAGCTATAGCTTTGTACTCCTGAGTGCAATGACTCAAGGTAGGTCCCTGTGGGATCCTGGAATCTATACCAATAAAGCTTTTACAGGCAATACTGGCAATTGTGCTACCTGAGGCTTCTAAGCCACAGTGGCTCCCTGATCTGCCCAACATGGGTAGTTTCCCTGCACCTGAACTGTGGCTTGGACAGGGAGAGGGAGGCAGAAAACCTTCGGACTGCTATACCCACTCCCATGAGGACTACTCCACTGAAAAGGGATGCCTGGAGCTGCAGCCATGTCTGGACTGTATCCTTCTAAGTAGATAAATGCCAATATGGCCCATGGTAATCTTGTAAGCCTGAATATTTTGTTCCGACTAAAAGACTCCCCAGGGGGTACTGAAGATATATAAATGGAAACTGAAGTTTTAAGAGTAATCAAGAAAATATCAATACTCTTTTGCTATGATTTTAAAGATCTTTTAGCAAATTTTGTTCCAATTCCATTTTATATAAAAATGTTCATCTCTGGGGCACTTAGGGGGCTCAATCACCTGGCCTTCGGCTCAGGTCATGACCTCAGGATTCTGGGATCCAGTCCTACATCGGGCTCCCTGCTCAGCAGGGAGTCTGCTTTTCCCTCTCACTCTCCCTCTGTCTGTCTCTCTCAAATAAATAAATAAAAATAAAAATAAATGTTCATCTTTATGAATTGTATTTTGGGGTTAAAGAACAAGGAAACACTCCAGTGGGCAGAGGGTGGGGTCTCCACAATTATCCAGAAAGAATCTGTCATGAAGTAAGAGATGGAAAGCTGAAAGATGGTTTTAGTTTAAAAAGAAAGGGAGTATTTTCTTCTTCCTTGGCCTTGGATTTCAGAAAGTCAAGCCTGGAGGTGCCTGTTGGTAGAGAAGGCCAGAGGTCGTAAAGGCAGGCAGCCCTACAGAACTATGAGCTCCTTCTCTTCCAAAATTCTGTGAAGATGAGACAAGCCTACAGGACCTAGAGAACAAAGCCACAGCAAGTGAATCAGATTATCTAGTTGTTAATTATTTCTGTATTTACTTCCTTGTAATTTCCAAGCTTTTAGAAAAGATGTGTTTAAGGATCAGAACCTGGTCTTGGCAAGGCTTTGGAGAATAAAGTGAAGGGTAATGGTCCAGATTTGGGCCAGAGTACAGAACATGGATGGCAGAAATGTCTGGAGAGACATTCCTAAAGGGTAGGTATAGATGAAGGGAACCATATCTGAGTTATAAGACTTTACATTCCTGAATGTGAGGATCTCTTTATTGCCAAGATTTGAGGGCATTAAGGGAGTCTGTGGGTTCCTTTAAAAACTTCAGAGCATTGGGCGCCTGGGTGGCTCAGTTGGTTAAGCGACTGCCTTCAGCTCAGGTCATGATCCCAGGGTCCTGGGATCGAGTCCCACATCGGGCTCCTGGCTCAGCGGGGAGCCTGCTTCTCCCTCTGACCCTCTCCCCTCTCATGCTGTTTCTCTCTCGCTCGCTCTCCAATAAATAAATAAAATCTTTAAAAAAAAAAAACAAAAAACAAACAAACAAACAAAAAAAACTTCAGAGCATTTTGTATTACCGTGACCGCAGTTAAGATCATCTATTTCACAACATATGCTAACTATTAGGACAACCAAGTTAATAAGAGCCATGCCTTATGCATCTTTGCATCTCCTTACAATTACAGCCTTATATTCTGCTTTTTATTTGAACACTATAAATTTTAGCTATTGCAAAAGTAGATCCATATTGGCCATAAAGTCTATATGAGGAAAAAAGTAAAAAACAAAAACAAAAACCCAACTCCTTTTGTTTGTGGCCAGTGATTAACTTTTTCTCCTGAAAATCCTTGGAGCCAGAGTTCCCTCTGTTGCCAATGTCAATAAAAAATTCCTCTGTAAGAGTCTTAAGCTTAGATATAGGGAGGAGTTTTGTTTTGTTTTTTTAATTCAAGTATAATTGACATGCAATGTCATATTAGTTTCAGTACAATATATTGATTCAACAATGGATTGTGTATACATTATGTATTGTTCACCATAAGTGTAGTTACCATCCTTACCATATAGTTATTACAATACTATTGACTATATACCCTATGTCATACTTTTCATCCTTGTGACTTATTTATTTTCTAATTGGAAGTTTGTGCGTCTTAAGCACCTTAACCCATTTAGTCCATTCTCCCACCTGTTTCCCCTCCAGCAACTGTATTTGTTCTACGTATTTGAGTCTGTTTCTGTTTTTGTTTTGTTTTTCAGATTCCACATATAAGTGAAATCATATGGTATTTGTCTTTCTCTGTCTGACTTATCTCACTTAATATAATATCCCCTGGGTCTATCCATGTTATAACGAACAGCAAGAGTTTTCATTCATTTTATGGCTGAGTAACATTGCTGTTTGGGGGGTGGCTAGGTGGCTCAGTCGGTTAAGTGGCGTCGACTCTTGATTTGGGCTCAGGTCATGATCCTCAGTGGACAGCCTGCTTCTCCCTCCCACTCTGCCCCTCCTCCCCACCCCACCCCCCACTCGTGCTCTCTCTCTCTATCTCAAATAAAATCTTTAAAAAAAATTAAAAAGAGAGAAAGAGAGAGAGAAACCAAGAAACAGACTCTTACCTATAGAGAACAAACTGATGGTTACTAGAGGAGAGGTGAGTGGGGGGATGGGTGAAATAGGTGATGGGGATTAAAAGTACACTTATCATGATGAGCACTGAGTAATGCAGAGAACTGTTGAATCACTATATTGTACATCTGGAACTAATATAACACTACGTGTTAACTATACTGGAATTAAAATGAAAAAATTCATAAAATTTTTTAAAAACCAGGAGGTTATGAATCAAACTAAGCATAAAGAAGGCTCAGTTGTTAAGCATCTGCCTTCGGCTCAGGTCATGATCCCAGGGTCCTGGGATCGAGTCCCGCATCGGGCTCTCTGCTCAGCGGGAAGCCTGCTTCTCCCTCTCCCACTCCCCCTGCTTGTGTTC